TAAATGGACCCTATCAAACCTTCTTTTTATAGGGTTCCCAAATTTTGATGTCCTTCTATATGTCCCTGAAAAGGGCAGGTTACTTGGGGTCCAGGTAGGGTAGGCATTATGATAAGGGTGTTGTGTGTCGGTTGTCGCTTCCGTGCAGGACCGTATAGGAAATTGGCTCTTTCGCTTACACGATGTTTTCGTCGAGATTGCGTCATGCGTGTCCTGGTGCCACAAGCCCTAAACCCGAAACCTACAGAAAACCCTAAACCCGAAACCTACAAAAACCCTAAACCCTAAACCCGAAGCCTACACTAAACCCCCTAAGCCCAAAACCCGAAACTTACAAAAAAACCTTAAGCCCCCAAACCCTGCAGAACGGCACTAACATCCCTTCAGGACGTAATCTCTCAACCTACAGCCCGAAACGCCCAACCCGCAAACCCCCCGCCTTTAGCAATGGAGGGGGCTTAATAATTAGAACAGGGTTCCTGTAAAGTGATCCTTACAGGGTTCTATAAGGGCTACTATAAGGGTTTAGGGTTTAGGGGCCTTAATAGTTAGAACAGGGTGTGGGGGTGCACTATACCGTAATGATAATAAGGAGCCCCCCAAAGCCCTGTTCGAATTATTAAGGCCTCTACATTAACCCTCAACCCTAAACCCTAAACCCTAAACCCTAAACCCTAAACCCTAACCCTCAAAAAGGGGGCTTTCGAAAAACCCTAAAGCCTCCGTGCTCAGAGGAAACGGACTGGCTGCAGTTTCGGGATCAGGCCTGGCACTGTTCCGGGGGTTTAGGGTTTAGGGGTTTAGGGGTTTAGGGTTTAGGGTTTAGGGGTTTAGGGGTTTAGGGTTTAGGGTTTTGGGTTTTGGGTTTTGGGTTTAGGGGGGGGGGCAAAATTTTGGTTTCGGGTTCGGGGTTCAGGGTTTAAGGGCGGCCCAAAGACTCCAAATAGCTGAAAGTGGGTGGTAGAGTATTTGTGGATTTCAGACTCCGAAGTAGGTATTACTTCCTGTCGTACTTGTAGGGTTTAGCAGGCTCCTTATTCTAATTATGTTATAGTTCACCCCCAAACCCTGTTCCAATTATTAAGGCCCCTAAACCCTAAACCCGGATAGTACCCTTTAAGGATCCCTTTAAAGGAACCCTGTTCTAATTATCCTGCTGGGGCGGCTGCGAAGTTTACCGGGTTTAAAGGTCTTGGGTTTGGGAGCATCGCAGGTTGATGCTTACAGAGGTTTAGGGTTTAGGGGTTGCGGTTTAGGGTTTAGGTGAAGGTTTTCAGGGTTTCCTGTTGTTGTGTATTCGGATTTTAAGCTTAAGTCTGCAACTCCCGAGGCGTTCCAGAAAACAGAAAGGGACGCTGTGGCGGCCCAGTTTTCCCACACAGTGGATTTACACGATTTTGTGGGTGTTGTGTCTGTTGTACTGACATATTGTTCTCTTTGCTTGTTTCATCCTGGATCTCATGTCTGTATTGCATATTACAGTTACGCATAAAGTGCAGGGCAATATGAAGTATACTGACCAATACTTGTGTCTATGCAGTAGTTTGGTACTTGGGATCCGAGACGTGGAATGCCGGGGGGAAGAGGGTGGAGGGGGGGGGGGGGAAAGGGGGGGCCAATTTTATTTTTTTTTTTTNNCCCCCCCCCCCCCCCCCCACTCCCTTCCCCCCTCCACCCACCTCCCGGAATCTCACATGTATCCACCTGTGCCCTGCACCGCGCTCGGATTGAATGAGGCAAAACAAACTCTCAGCGATACACTATCATTCGCGTTCTCGCATCTTCTTTTCCAGTCCGTTTTATGTTACTTATCTGACTAAGTACATGACACAAATTTGATGTCTTATCTTTGGACAGGAACATTCCTAGACGTAGAAAGTACACTGCGCAAGAACAGCAGCATTTGTCATGTCTGATGCAGTATTGTGGGCCCCCCATAGATCTCTAGAATCTCGACCTACTTGCAAAGATAGTCCTTGTGCAGTCTCGCGCCAATGTGTTCTCAATCTTGAAGTACAGTCTGTCGTGTATAGTAGACAACGTCATTTGTTAAAGGGAAAAGAAGTGGATGTATTTTGCGTTAGCCCGGCGCTACGTAGCGGTATACTTTAGCATACAGTGACATAGTCCCGCGAAGGTTTCGAGCTCAGCAACTTCGCGGCGCTGCAGTCAGCTTTCCTTTCTGAAGTTTTTCACAGGCTCTACACGCTCGTATGTCGCATTCTACTAAGTATGTATGCTTCATTAAAGCGACCATGTTAAGGAATTTATCCGGAGCATTTGCATCGGACTGGATCCAGGGAGCCCAAAGACCTGATTCGCACATCATCCTCTACCAGAAGGACACGGACATTGGTATATGGCATTACGTATGAGGACAGGCGCACAGTGAAAACCCTTGATGTTTCCGTAGGGCCCCGGAGTTTGCTTATGCAATCTACAGATTTCTTTCGTCTTCTCCAGCAAGACGCACACGCCACTTGGTTTCGCACGGATGTCGTGGACTATGACGCCCCTGAGGAAATCAGTCCGGTTTACGACTTGGCTGGATCCGCAATGCAGTCTGGTGGCGACAGGAACTAATAAACCACTCCGACGATTCTGTACTCCTTGCTTGACGTGTGCCTCATGTGGTTCTGGCATGTACGAAAAGAAGCCCGCGACGGAGGCTGTCGTGTATGGCATGGCCGGTGTTGAGAGGGCTCACCATGTCCGGATGGAGTAAGTCTTGTAGATCCCAGCACTATTACAAGTTCCGTTGGGTCGGCCAGAACAAACTCAACTCGGTGTGTCTTCAGAATGTGACACATCTGTTTGTGACGCCCAAGACTGGCTTCGAGATCAAGTTCCAGCAGCACCACGACGCTCTTCAATTCAGAGGGTACTTGTCCGGTCGCGCCATTGACTGGGCACAGCGCGAGTTCATTTTATCGGATGAGCATGAACACGCCCGCGTCCGCAAGGACTACTCGGCAGCCAAGTTGCTGCTTCAAGTCATGCAGGAGTGTGAAGACATGTGGAATGTACACCCCCGACGGGAACACATTGCAAGGCTTCACGGTCTCAAGATCGAGCGACCGTTGGATGTAACACTGCTGGAAGAATATGACCAGTGGTGGCACACGGAAGCTGTTCCCGATGTGATGGACCGCACCCAGGTTCAAGCCAGTTCCATGGATGGTCATGAGGAGGTCATCGCCAAATGCTCCGACAATCCTCCAGCCCGAAGCGGAAGGCCTCGCAAAGATCAAGATGTCTCATAATGGGTGGTTCATGGTCACGGACACGGCAACAGGTGTCGTGATTGGGGTGGTTGAAATGTTGCAGCCTGAGAACAACGAAGTGTCTCGCGCGAGCCTTGGACATGTACGACAATGTGGACTGCGTTATCTGTGACCGCATGTGCTCACTTCTGCCTACCATCAAGAAGCCTGCTCAGAAGCGCCCCTCGACACGTACTCGCTGAGCTGAATGATAGTTTTCATCCTGAACGCATGTGTTAAATCTTGACGACATGCATACGTACTGAATGCAGCGTCTTGGAATTTCGCACCCAACCATGATGCGTTCTCCATCGTCTCGCAGACACTCACCATGCACTTTCTGTGCAGTTCCCATGCAAGTTTTAGGGATTCTGGATTTAAGGCTTATGGGGTTCAGGGATATGGGCCCTAAGGATTGGATGAAACATGCCAAAAAAAGACACACTCCGATGTAGGATTCTTTGTACAAGCATCCTTAATTACATATAAACAGGAGCGCCCTCTAATTTAGGGGTTCAGGGTTTTGGGTTTTGGGTGTAGGGTTTAGGGTTTAGGGTTTCTTCTAGAGGTTTAGGGTTTAGGGTCATGGGCATACTATAATATACCCCGAAACCCCGCACGAATTGAAAAACGACTATACGAAACCCTCAACCGACATCAACCTCGACGCGACTAACCCAGAAGCTCTGGCAATGTATAGCCCAAAACTGACTAGTAAGTAATATGATTCGGCAGGGCTCCTTATTCTAACTATCTCATGATATTCCCCACAACCCTATTGTTGTTGTTAAGATCCCTAAATCAAGAAACGTGTGCAACATATAATGCGAAAACACCATTTAACCGGTAGAATATTTTGACGGGGCTCATATGCAAATCCGTGCCATACTTAGACGCTCAGGAGAATTACACCCTAAATCTTAAAGCCCTAACCCCCGAATGCCCGAAATGCATGGCCTGTAAACCGTAAAGCGTGGCAAACCTGCTGGTGCATGCCCTATCTTCGACTGTTTTGCTGGGAGGGTGGGACGCCCTCGGGGCTCCATATTTGCGGTGGTTTTGCGGGTTTTTATGCTTTAAAGCATGCACCCACAGGACAGAGGCTGGCGATCCCTGCGGTCTCAAGAATCTGCGTCCCCGACTTTATAGTAACTTGTGCATACGAGGATACAGTCACAGTAAACAGCAACTTCTGTGCGCAATCGACATCATCGCTACGTTCGCAGCGCAGGCTCATACGTTTGTGACTGGCTTGCCACAAGATATGCAGAGCTGTTCGGTCGGTTACTCTCTTTTGGAGCATCATGAACATGGACGCTGTATCTCCATCACAGATTCTCAAGTTTTTTAGGATTGCATGGACAATCGACATAGAACACTGCAAGGAATATCTAGCATACCAGGAAGGCGCTGACCTCACCCCTAAACCCTATAGCAACCCTAAACTCCAGAAGCAACACAGAAACTAAAGCGTCCCCTGTCCTTGCGTCGGCTCGGACGCCCTCCCCGCAGAAAAGGTTTAGGGTTTGGTTTCAGGAGCAACGGATCTTTAGTGTTTCGGACGTGGGTTTAAGAGGTTTTGGGGGCAGTCTCTCTACATATTTCTACATAATATATGTTTCAGTGTTTCGGAGCGGGTGGGTTTGCCACCAACAGAAGCCCTTAACCCTGAACCCTAAACCCTAAGTCCGTACTTTATCAAGGCGGGGGGTTTGCAGCAAGTGCGAAGCCCGGAAGGTGGAGGCCTTCCTCGCTGAGTGCCTTGCTTTGCTGCCTGAGGCCGCGGAGGGAACCGTAAACCCTCAACCCAGGGAGGGGGGTGAGGCTTTAGGGTTTAGTCGGTGTGGGGGGCACATAGGTCCGATGGCTCAGGGTTTCGGATTCCCCTCATGAAGAACCCATACAAGTTGTAGCAAGGATCCTCAGATTGCGTCACTTACCCTAAGGCTCCATGTACCTATATGGCATATACTTGGGCCATAAATCACCCATGTTGGAACCCCCTTTATGGCGTAAGTAAAAGCCATGTGGGCACATGGAGCGATAGGTTTCAACACAGGGGTTCATACACCATATTCCTGCATTGTATGAACGAAGCACGCTCCAACCAACAGCTTGAAACAAGTCAGGAGAACCGCCCGATGCCAAGAAATTAAGAACTACCAATACTGTTGCTGAGGGCTCCTGGAAAGATTTTTACTATAATATACCCCGAAACCCTATTCTAGTTATCAAGGCCCCTAAACTAAACCCGTATGATTATATCTCTTGTTGTAACCCCTCTGAAGAGCCCTTTGACGCACACCCTTGTACAAGCCCTGTTCTACGTCTAAACCCTAAACCCCAAAACCCTAATTCTTAAGGCCCCTCTATCACACCCCGCCCGACAGAGCAACAGGAACTGAACCCTGAGGCCGCAAACGGCTTCCGAGAGAGCCCAATACAGCTTGATTAAGGAATA